CTGGAGATAAGTAGTCCTTCAGAGAGCCAGACTCTATGCAGTGAAAGACTATAAAATAATCAATACCTTGAATTGAACCCAGAAGCCGACTTGCAACCAGTAGAGCACATGAAGCAATGGCGTCATTTCTGCATAACATGGTGCCCCCATCACCATCAACACCACCACATTCTGGATCACCTGCAGCTTCCTGATCATTTACAAGGGCACCCTATGTAGAACACATTAAAGTAATCTAATTGTGAGGTGACTGAGACATGAATGACTATCTGGATTTCTTGATCAAGTAAAGGGCACAACAGGTGGACATGATGTACCTACGCTAAGGCCTCTTAGCCATACTTCTACCTGCTCTATGAGAAGGATCTAAGAATCCAAGAGGACTCCCAGCTTGTACTCAAATCTTGAATGGGGAAGTGTAACTCCACTGAGAGTCAACAGTGGAATACTGTTAGACCCAGGGGGCCCAAACAGGCAAACCCATTTGGTCTTGTCAGGATTGAGCCTGAGACTGTTCCTATTCAGACCAAAACAATCTCCAGGCACTATATGGACTTTGGCTACATTGCTCCGCTGGTCAGAGGTTGAGATATACAAATGGGTATCATCAATATATTGATGATACCTGATCCCAAACAGGCAGATGACCTTACCCAGTAGTTTCAAAGGTCAGGAACAGGTATAACCAATGTTGTCTTCATTTTAAACCCTTGCCTGATCCAGTTGAAATAATTCAGTTCCTTCACAGTCCTCTGAAGCTGAAATCTGGCCACCTTTTCTAGCACCTTCTCTAAAAAGGCAAGATTGGATACTGGACAATAGTTGTCTAGGACTGTTGGATACAGCAATGACTTCTTGACCAGAGGGTATAGCACAGCCTCCCTCAAGGCTGAGGGGATCACACCATACTTCAAAGAAACCACATGGACCCAGCCACAGGTCATCTCCTAGGTGGCTTTAACCATCCAGGAGGGACCTGGATCTAACAAATAGATGGCCAAACCAGCAGACTAAAGAAACCTGTCCACTTCCTGAGGAGTCATAGAATCAAACTCCCTCTAGACTGACTCTATCTGGATCAACTGCACCTTACTTAGACCCATCTAGTTGGAGTCCAACTCTGAGTGAATCCAACTGACTTTATCTGCCAAATAATGAGAATGTTCCTCACAGTGGCCCTGCAGATGGTTCTGCAGTTCATCCCTCCCCAGCAAGGATCAGGTCACCCTGAAAAGGGCTGCTAGATAGTTACTGGCAAACATAATAAGGATGGAGAAATAAGAATGTTTTGCCACCCTTATTGCCACAGTGTATTCCCTAATAGGGCTTCTCAGTTGTGATTGATTGGAGTCACTTTTCATGTTCCTATAATGGTGTTCCGGGCATCTCTTCTTGTGCTTTCTTTCCTGAAGCTTCTCAGAAAATGCAGACAGGCCCTGAAATCTGTGCAGGGAGAAAGACCACATGTGGGTAATCTGGCAATACTGTCTATCTGTTGATTCAGTCCACAACTAGGGCCTCAGCCTAATCACCTACCAGACTTTCAGAGATAATTCCATGCTCCCTCTGAAACCCAACCTGGTGCATCAGTTTGAGAAAATAATTATCTCAGCACATTTTTCTGCAATTTGATTGGCATTTAGTATTCCTAATATTCTACCTACCCTTGAGACCTGAGCTGAAACAGAATGGAACAACAGCTGTTCCTGTGTTCCCTTTGTTTTGTTTCATTGGAACTATCTAAACTCTTCAAATTTTGTTCCAGTGGAACAGGCAACACTCAGACTTGCTGCATTGTGTACAACCAGCTCAGAATATTTCAAATAAGTCTGTTTTATTCTTAATTCAATATAAGACATGGTTGCTGTTCCTTGCATATCCCTAGCAAATCTACTGGTAGCGTGATATGATTAAGATATTTTAAGAATGACATAATTTTAAAAAGGCATGTGTTTCATAGCCAACTGTTGCTTAAAGGTTACAGTTAGTCCTCAACTTATGACCATTCAGTTTTTGACCATTTGAAATTATGATGACACTGAAAAAAGTGACTTACAACTGGTCCTCACACTTATGACCATTGCAGTGTCCCTACAGTCACATGATAAAAATGTGGGCATTTGGCAACCAGCAGATTTACAATGGTTGCAGCATCCCAGGGTCACATGATTGCCATTTGCAACCTTCCCAGCTGGTTTCCAACAAGCAAAATCAATGGGGAACCAAATGATTAACTTAATGACTACATATTTTGCTTAATGACCACGTAATTCACTTAATGACCCCACAAAAAATGGTGTAAAATTAGGTGCAGTCACATGATGCCTTGCTTAATAATCACACTGCTTAACTATGAATTTTCCAGACCCTATTGCGTTGATACGTCAGGGACTACCTGAATTCAAGTAAAATACATAAAGCCTAAAAGTAATAAGGATTCCCTCACTTGCTCATAACTGCTGATAATTAGTGCCAGAATACGTATTAGTTCATTAAATCTGTCATTCATTATTGACACATATGAATTAGCTTAGTAACACAATTCCATAAATAATGAAAGCATATACATTTTATGAATATTCTCTTGAAAAGTTTTTTTTTTAAATAATTCTGTTTGTTCATTTCCCAGAACATCCGAAATGTCAAGGGAACACTGATGCGTGAGACATAAAGACTCTTTTTTCAACCACCAACTTCTCAGTCAAAAAGAATTGCACATGAGGATCTTCCAAGGCTAATTTAAACTGGTGCATCAAAATAAGAGGAGATTCATTCACCTTAAAAACTTTGAAAACTAAGAAGTACATGAAAAAAATAATGTAGATCTGATGGATGGATGAACAGTTAATCAAAGTGATATTGCTGGACAAGGAAAAGGGACTGAAGGGTGGTGTGGATGACACCCTTGGTAAATGGTTCTTTTCTTTTCATGCTGCTGTTTTGTCGTTGTCATTGTTACATAGATTCTGAGATATTTCCCTCTTGCATCAGAATTTTCACTTCAGTCATTCAATGGAGTATACTCTGAGAATAAGTAACTTTTTTGATTTTGTTTTTTAAAACCTCTACCTTTCAAAAGAGTATCAATTATTACAATTTCAATTATATTCTTTTAATATTTATTCTGCTATATGTGTTATAGAAATCTTGAGTAGCTATGACAGACAGTAACTGCAAATATTGCCATTCTGTTCCACATTAAAAAAAAATCAGAATTCATATTCTAAAAATCCTAATAATCTAAAACTAGGATTTCTGTCTACATCTTCCCATCTCATTTTCCATCCCTGCCCTAAGCACTTCTTGGCATAATTTTCAGATGTTAATATATTATTTCTGATAAATTACTTTTGGCATTTTTTTTCTTTTTAAAAATGGGGCAATCACCAAGTGCCTGACCATCACATCTAGAAAGAGATTCATTCAACTGTAGTTTAGTATTTGAAAAGAAATGAAAACAAAATGTCGGCTAGATTAATAATGTCCATTGACCTCTTAAAAGTAAAAGTAACCCAGAGAGCTATTTCATAGCTTGGAGCTCCCCAGTACATAGAAAGTTGACTTCAGTGGAATATAACAGTTTTTAAATTGAAATGTTTATTTATTGATTGATCACATTATACTCCACCACAATCCCCAAGGACTAAAGATAATTTACAGTCAAAAACCAATATTTCAAATGCATATTCACATAAACTTTCTGACCCAAATGACTTTTAAAAGCCCTAGAAAGGTTCTTGTTTTTCTTGAACACAGAAGCATATACAAAAGATTTTGTCTTCTTCATTCTTCCACATCCAATACAAAGCAGAAATTCTGGATTAAGTCAGAACAATTTTGGTAGGAACATGAAATGTCAACTATATTTTTCTTGCAATCCATCTTATGACTGTGTCACAGCAGCCCCACAAATCAGTTGGATATTTTCCATTTGTGGTAGGTGATGTTATGGGTTAGAAAGTTTTAGCAAGTCATAAGATATCAATTTGAACTCTTTAAAAAATCTCATATCTCCCTCATTTACAAAACAAAAAAAAAGTCCAGATAATTTGACCCCACCCAATCTAGAAGACCCCTGAAACTCTCAGACAAGGCAGGGAGTTGCACTGTGATCCCCAAGCCAAAGATTAGGTCATCTTTTATGTTACAGTTTTTGACATAGAACTTTAGTATTAGAGAGGCATATTTAGGAAATTCAGTGTGCAGCAATGATTCTCCTCTTTTAATTTATTATTTCCACTTGAGTTACATTCTTTGTCCTATTCAAAGTTGTCTTTGTTCAGTTTAGTATTATACCATGCTACTTTTTAAACCACCATACAGACTTCATTTTATCTTTCAGAGTTCCTCTATCAACTCCTATCTATGCTACTATCAGTTTTGATCCATCCTATTTACAGTTACTTCTTTAAGCCCTCTGGTGCTTAATTATTCAAGCCTTCTCATTAAGACTGGTCCTCTAGAAGGAAATCACATTAGGTTTGTGACAAAAATCTTGTGCCCTTTACATGTTTGGAATTAAATCTCCATTAATCCATTGTAATTGACCATGGTACCTGGGGCAAATGGGCTTTGAAATTCAAAGATTTTTGAAGGCACCAGTATGCATCCTTCTGCTCTAAAATTCCCTCCTCCAGCTGATTCTTTCCCTTTCATTTGTACTGCCAGATTCCATATTACTCTATGAAACAGCCCTGTTCTGGCATCTCAGAACTACAGTGTAGGAGAAGGGGACTAAAAATTACTCTTAGTGGAATTCTAGTCCCCTAATTCAAGCTATCATTGTAAATTATAGGGATAGGAGTGCTGTTGCAATAGATTTTATGTAAGGCAAACAGGGAAGGCTCATGAAGAAAGGTGATAATCTGTTAGTATAAAAAACTGGTTTTCATGAGAAAAACTGGGTTTTTGTTACTGAAATCAGGATGTTAACTTTCTATGGAACGCTGAAGCTGTTGGTCTTAATTCAATATTTTGTTTCAGAAAGTAAAAGAAGATAGATGGAAGAGGGCAGTCAAGAAGGTGAGAATGTAACCAGAGTCACTGAATTCATTCTTCTTGGTTTCCCTGGACCTCAAACGCTGATTTTTTTAATGTTTATGCTCTTTCTTCTGATGTACATCCTGACGCTTTGGGGGAATGTATCTATCATCATTTCAGTAAGTGCAAATCATCAGCTGCATACTCCCATGTATTTCTTCCTTTGCAACCTCTCTTTCCTGGAAATATGGTACACCACAGCATCTATCCCTAAGATCCTTTCAATTTTTTTAGGGAGGAGCAGGAGCATCTCATATGTTGGCTGTCTTATGCAGCTATACTTTGTTTTTTCTTTGGGAAGTACTGAACAATTCCTGCTATCTATCATGGCGTATGACAGATGTTTGGCTATATGTTATCCTCTTCACTATAACATAATCATGGGCATCAATCTTTCTAATAAACTGGCATTTTGCTGTTGGCTGGTTGGATTTCTTATTGTTTCTATTCCAGCCTATCTGATCACAACTTTGACCTTCTGTGGGCCCAATGTAATCAATAATTTCTATTGTAGCATTGACTCCTGGATAGTTCTTTCCTGTACTGACACTCACCTTATTGAGCTGTCATCCTTCATCATTGCCATCATTGTTATCTTGGGTTCCTGCATGATGACTTTTCTTTCCTACATTTGCATTATCCGCACTATTCTACACATCCCTTCTGTCAAAGGACGACAAAAGGCCTTCTCCACTTGTTCTTCCCATCTTTTCCTTTTGTTGATTTGGTATGGTTCCACCATCTTCCTTTTTGTCAAGCCTTCTAAACAGATGTCTTTAGAAACGAACAAAATTATGAATATCTTCAGCCTCATTGTAGTTCCACTGTTGAATCCTTTTATCTACACCCTGAGAAACAGAGAGGTGAAGGAGGGCTTGAAGCACTTATTATTACATTGGCATCTCTACTGATCATAAATGTATAAAGAAAGCATGGTAAAGGGAAAACATAGCCTCCTTCAGAATAAGCTTCCTTCTCATCATGGAATGTATATTTTCAGACTTGGTCCTTGGTAAGATGGAAGGCTGTGAAATAGAAGGCTTTTTCTAAGGGGGGGGGAGGGAAGGACAAGGGAGAGAGGGAGAACACCAGCTTGATGATGGACAGGAAGCAAAAGAAGAAAGAAACTCTGCTACTGAACTACTCTGTTCAGGCCTGTAAAAAGAAAGACCAAAGGACATAAACTTCTGCTGGGCATTATCTAGACATTATAATTTGATTTAAAAATTACACAGCCTGAAGTTTCAAAGGAGATTGCATTATTTTAAGCCCTGTCCCTGAGAGCTTAAATGGGCAGGTGTTGATGAATAAATAAATGAACCTTCTTGCTTCTTTGGTTTTTTTTTTTATTTAAAAAAAATAGGTGAGCAGCATTTTTTTTTAAAAGTAAACATTTTACAAACTGAAAATTATCAGCCTTGTAGTTTCATTGAGAAGCCTTTTCTTCTATATACAGAAAGAAATCTGGAGAAGGCTTTCAGTCACTCATTGTACAGATATTTATGCAAAATACTTCATTGAAATAATAAGAAAAGTATTGTGGCATAATCTATATTGAATAGATGGGGCAGGAGTCTCACCCTAGATTTCAGGCCTGAATGCATTCCTTAAAGGGCTTGTAGAAGTTACTACTAAATAATACAGTGTTAGGATGGAAAATGATTAAACACATGGAGAGTAATTTATTATCTGTTTATGTTAATTAAATTTAAATTAAACTGCAATTGTTTGTCCTGGACCACCAGACACTTTTTTCCAAGAGAAATTCTTATCTGTTTACTGGTTTACTAGAATAGAATCAAGTGTTAATCCTCTTTCCATCAGTACTAGATTAACCAACAGGGGGAAAAATGTGTTAAAGGCTTTCAAAGAGTGAGCATCACTGTGTCATTAGGAATTCAAGTTTCATTATGCATATCAAAAAAGAGGAAATGAATGATGACTTCATGACTTTCAGCTCCTCCTCTTTCAGCCAGAAACACATACACACACAAAACACAAAATGAAGTTCCTCTTGCAAATCAGTGTTGGCGAAATAAAATAAATTTCTAATCTCCACCTAGCTTCCATCAGTCCCTATCTTGCTGCATAATTATCTGGTTTTGAACTCACACTTCAATGAGATAGGATATTAAAAAAAATCCCTCTCACCCCTATGGGTAGTACGTATCTTCCTCAATCTCGGGTCCTCTACCAGAGG